TTGCAGCAAACATTCAAGCCTGGTGCAACTGTACCTGCAGATCAGTTTAAATCCATGATTACAGACGGCACTGCTTTGGCATGCAGCTCTTCTTAACTGTGTTCTCTTGTCTGTGTTCTCGTTAACTGCTGCCTAAAAATTCTGTTTGGATTGTACGCTCAACATCATTGTAAATGAGGGTGTGCCCTCAAAAAACTCCTGGAGACTTAAATAAAAGCTGACTAAAGTTGGCTTGGCACCAAAGTAACGTGTAAGCTTAGCTTTAATTGTGTTTGGTCTACATGAGGAGTAGCCAAATGATTTTTGGATTTGGCTTAGTGAACATTTTTTGCTTGTGGAACTATATCCACAACCCAGTTAGCAAAACACTGGTTGAAAAATATCTACAAGCTCCACGAATGTTTTAAAGTTGAATGTTGAGTTTATTATTTTAAACTTTCCTGTGAGATTCAACGTTAACGAAGACAGAATGCTTTAACATTCAGATGTTGGGAGGATTCTCAAAGCAGCATTCAAAAGATGTTTTCCAGATCGAGGCCTCGGATTACTTTTTATAAGGAAGTTGCTCTCAGTGATGTATTTTGCCTGCGATGTTCTGAGGATGTTTTGGGAAAATACTTTATAAAAAAAAAAAATTCTTCTATAAAACATTCCCACAGTCACAACAGAGGACGGACATTCCCAGTTCGACAAACGAAAATATGTTTTACAGAGACCTCAGACGGCAGAACGTTCTTTATGAAACAATGGGATATTTTAACAAAACATTTCTTCTATAAAACCTTCCCGCAATGTTTCACAAATCAACATTGTACAACATTTTTAGAATGTCTAGAGAACGCTATCCTTCCTTCAAGAAGTACAATCTGGGAATAAATATAAACAGTCTCACAAACATTACTAGAACTTTGCAGAACTTTCACAGAGGGTTCCTGGACAACAACAACAACAACAAACAACAACAACAAACAACAACAAAATCTAGATGGAAATATAAAAATGCAATGCAACAACAAAGCAGCAATTTTAAATTCAACTGCTTATTTCTATTTATTTTTAATTATGATTTTTTCTTGTTTCAGTTTCCTCCTATTTGAACTTGTTTATTTATTTTGAACTAATTCAATAAACAAACAAGACCAAATCCTCCCCCTTGTGTCAAGAGCAAGTAAACTAGTTTTTGAGGAAAAACAGAGGAAAATTAAAAAAAGAAGAAGAAGAATTATATTATAATTATATTGGCGCCGTCTCTGTTGTGCAGAGGAAATTATTTTTCATCCTTTCATTGGCAATAATAACAGAAACCACAGCTCAGAAACAGCTTTTGGTGGATTTGTTTTTTTTTTAAGCTAGCAAGAAAGAAGAAGAAACTTGCTAATGCTAATAATAATAAAAAAAAATTGAGCCAACAGCTAATGAAACAACGGCATACTGTAGCTTATTTTTATTTTTATTTTACATTTTACTGTGAGTGTGTTCCTTTTTCTTTTACCTGCCTCTGGTTGGAGTTTCACTGCATTTCTTGAGCCTGTCAAACGAGTTTTCTCTCTCCAGCCTCTGTGTGTCTCTGCCGCTCCCAAACACACCGGAGACTACAAGCAAGACGAAGAAGAAAAAAGAAAAAAAAAAAAAAGCAGACAGCAGCTGATGAAAATAAGGAAGTAAAAACGCTGTCGGACTGGAGCTAGAGTCCCATTTTTACTGCCTTGCAAAGTAAAAAACACACCAGTCGACAGCTCGGTAATAGCATTCAAGGCACGACGGTTGTGCTACGGAAGTTAGCCGTCAAGCTAATTCCTACACATTTTCTGCAAACAGAAAAACAAAAAAAAACACAACAAGAGGTGGACAGGAAGACACAGACGAGTAAGTACACACTGCAGGTAGTAGGAAGCTGTCCTGCAAGATGAGTTGTGTGTGTGTTTGTGTGAGTCAGACAGGGAAATAGCACAAAGAGAGAGAAAAAAGAGTCGAGTTTTCTCTGCAGGATAGCACTTTTTCACTCGTTTTTTTTTTTTGTGCCAGCACAAACTCAAGAGAGGAGGAGAAACAAAAAGAAAAGTCCATGTGTGTGTCCTAGAGTCAGCTTTAGACTGGACAGAAAGACAAAAAAAAACTAATAAAATATGAAAAGGTCAGGACCAGGAAGGCAAGAAAAAGGACAGCAGCAGTGTTTTGGCCATGCTGAGGGTACAAACTCAGCACTTTCTGTTCAACTGTTCAACAAAGTGAGAGTGTGTTCGTAAACAAAGGCAGCTCACTGACTGCAAATGAGCTCTTCCTGTTTATTGCACTTGCGCAACCATGCTTTTTTCCCCTCCTCCTCTCTCTCTCTGCCTTGTGTTATAGTGAAGCACTGGATGCTATTTCCTGTGGACTTTGGCTCATCTGCTGTGGAAATGTTATATCGGGGGATTAGTCCAGAGAATCTTGGACTTTCCCCCCCTCCCGTGCACAAATATAAAGTATTCACAGAAGGTCACAGCTATTTATAACCTGCCCTCTACTCTCTTGTGTGTCTCCTGTAAGACTTACATCTCTGATCCCCAGAATTTTTTAATCAGCCACCATGGACCACCAAGGGGAAGAACCAATGGGGCTGAAACAGGAAGAGCTGCCGCAGATGGACGGTTCGTGCGACGCGTGCGAGCCCGATGAGGCCCAGCCAGCGACACAAGTGTGCCACACCTGCAGCTTCGCCTTCTGCCCGCTTCACGCTGACAGACACGCCAGCAACACACATCACGCGTTGATGCCTTATAACTGTGATGGGACACAGGCTAATGGTCTTGGCACAAACGGGGACTCCAGAGTCGGAGGCGAGGATGAGGCCGGGGCAGAGGGGGCGGCTGGAACGGGTTCAAATCAGGCCACGGTACCACTTGGGTTGGCGGCGGCCGGTGGCGGCGAGAGTGGCAATGTCGAGGAGGGAGAGGCGGCCCAGAATCCGCCGCCTCTGGAAGCTGAGCTGGGTGGAGGAGCTGAGGGAGCGGAGGCCATGCCTGCCGGAGAGGCCGGGAAGAAGGACAGCGTGACAGTGGAGAGGCTCCGCTGCAAGGAGCATGGACAGGAAGGCTCCCTCTACTGTAAACCAGATGAAAAGATAATCTGCGTGGTATGCGCGGTGCAGGGCGAGCACAGGGGGCATGAGATCATCACTCTGTATGAGGCCTACGTGTGGCAGAAGGTGAGTGTCACACTAAGTACATGACAGGTTTATATACGGTGGAGCACCAGTGGGTGATTTACTGCGCACCGCTCTTCATCGTACCAAATAACAACGGCATGCTCTGCGACATAATGTATGCAGAGCGTCACCTATCTAGTTTGCATTTCTAATTCAGTATTAAGTAGTTTGCCAATAGCTGTAGGCCCTCTAGTCTTTAAGTCAACTCGCAGGGGCTCTGTAAGTGCTCTGTGTAATATTTTAAACATAACAATGTCTCATGATCACCCACATGACTCCATTAATAAATTAATTCAATTGTAGAGCCGCATAAATAATTTCTATGAAAAGAGGAAATGAAACGTTATGAATATACCCCCGATGTCCGTTCGGCTCGGTGCCAATTACGGCTTCACCCTTCTTCCGTTTTCCCCTGATGGCTTTTTTTTTTCTCCTTCAAGCCTATTTAATAGGTCCAGTGAGTCACCAGTTGTTCAGTGCTGAATTGCATTCGGTCCAATAAGCTGGGTTAATGTGCTGGATTTTGAGAATATCTCCATCAATACTATGAGTTCAGTTATGCAGAGCGCAGAGTGTTTGTGATGAATATTGAACCATTTCGAGTTGGATTTTCAGCACACTGAGCACATTTGGACTGTGTTGTTAACAGGGGTGTGATATGATCAGAAACCAGGGCTTAGTTTTGGATTAATATTTCGAACCGGCCAAGGTTTTTTTTGTTTGTGAAATAAACAGAATCAGGAAATCTCAGCGAGGGCCTCATTTGAAAATTGCCACACACGGAGTCATTACATTCAGCCGTATGGAAGTAGCGCAGTGTCGTTCTCTGCCCTGTGGCCATACATCTGAAAAACAAAAGTGGAGCAGCACATTTCACTGGCTCACTCTTACATCGCAGCCACATATGGATTGGCATGAGACAAAAAGGGTCACATGAAACAGCCCGAGGCCACATTATTTACTCTAAACCTACCCCAGCTTTAACCCCGCTTCCTGTCTCAGTGTGCTCATGTGAGGAATCCTTTTTCTGCTGGAGTAGTAATACGATTTTGCTTTGCTGTGCATCACATTGAGGATGTCAAACTTGGGGAATTTCAGCCTGCGATCGACTAGCGGGCTGTCAATGAGCAGTATGTCTTTGCTTGTGTGTAAACATCATTCAGAAATACTGTCATATTATCAATACTGAGATGTTTAATCAAAATCATTGAGCTGTTTGTTTTTGTCAGTGTGCCCAGTTTTTCTTTGTTTGAGTGTAGAACTAGTTAAGTCAGTTTGTTGCTCTTCCGGCTGATTGATAGCTTAATGCTAACAAATATTTATCTAACTTGTGTTATTTTTTGAGTTGCACAGAAAGAATCTCTCTGTGCATGCTGTGTTTTTTCTTTTTTTCTTTTTTACTCTGTTGTGTTTACTCCTTGTTTGTCTGCTCTACGTGCAGAGCAGGGAGGGTTACGACCTGCTGGGCTGTACACAACAGATGGCTGAGAACGTCAAGACTAAGTGGACCAACCCCGAGGTGAGTCAGAACTCCTGTGTACAGAACACCGAGTCGGATCATAGCACGAGTTTTGAAGTGAGAGCTGTTTTCAGAAAACGTCCCCCGAAAGGTGTGTGCTCAGTTGTTTTCATTCAGTAATGAGTTCCTACCAACTCTTATCAGCTGCAACAAAAGCTAAATGTGACGTCTTTACAAGGAATGACAGCACACCTTGTGCATATTCTCTGCTTTTCATTATGTGATAGCGCCGGTAACTTTGCTGATAATCGTCTTTTAAAAGGTATCTGTCGGTGAAGTGCCAAAATGCCAAATTCACCTTGCATTTCAGACAAAGCTAAACAAGTTTAGCGAGCGTACAGCGTCGTTACACTGGTTGCAGGTGGCATAAATGTGGGAGGTTTATTTTTAGACCCCAAAAAAAGAATAGGTTCTTTAATTTTTTAACATAATCTTAATAATAACATAATCTTTATCATCTTAAAAATGTATGAATGTGTATGTTAACTACTGTATTTGTCCCTTTGGTGACCCATAGTGTAGGTATGCAGCATATCAGTTGCTTAAAAGTTTGTCTTTATAGATTATAGGACTGTCTCTAAGTTTTTCTTAGTTGATTATTAGTCATTAATTCAAGCCATTAGTTGACCATCCATCCATCCATCCATCCATCCATTATCTATACACCACTTAATCCCAACTAGGGTCATGGGGGGCTGGAGTCTATCCCAGCTGACTCAGGGTGAAGGCAGGTTCACCTGGACAGGTAACCAGTCGATCGCAGGGCTACACTTAGAGACAGACAACCAAGCACACTCACATTCACACTTACGGACAATTTAGAATCACCAATTACCCTCAACATGTTTTTGGACTGTGGGAGGAAGAACCCGGAGAGAACCCACGCTGCACAGGGAGAACATGCAAACTCCACGCAGAAAGATCCTGGGTGTCCTCACCGGGATGCGAACCGGCGACCTTCTAGCTGCGAGACAACGGTGCTAACCACTGCTCCACCTTGCACAATTACTTTAATGTCATTATTTAATTATGCATTTTCAGTCAACATGAGAAAACCATTTGAACTCCAAAGCTGGAACACAATGCTATAAGTCGGCTAACATTGCTAACACTGTGATTCATTGCAAAGTGATCATGAGAATGTGTTGGAGACTTATCGTTTTTGTTAATAAGCCTAATCATGTAAACCGCCTCGGGTCAACAAAGCGCAACTAGTGAGTACCTCCTCCTCAGTAAGTCATCACAGAAAATATATGCTGCCATCAGTCTGTCAATGACCCGCACCAGAACCCCCGTCAGAAAACACACTTGGCTGTCGCATTGGTGGTCCAGTGGACTGTCAAAAAATATAAGTTTAAACCAGCCCTGCTTGTCTCTTTTCCTACCCTCTCTCTGTGTGCCTGCCATCCATGGTGCAGTTTATTTTTTATATACATGTCGGGTGTTTTTCTACATACAGCGTGCAGTTTTTTAATGTTTCCCTTTTCTGCAACCAGCCAACCAATCAAAATTTGCTCGATTTAGTCTCCCCTCATCATCTAATGTAAGTCGACTGACTGCTGGGGGCAGCGTAGTACATTTCAGTCATGTCTGTGGACATAATTAGGTCAAGCAGTCCCAGTCACCCAAAGCCTCCCATGTGTGAGTATTATTATTTATTTTTTATCATGGCTTTATTCCAAAACATCTAAATGAGGCTATTTAGTCAGTATTGTCTGTTTAGTTTTTTTTGTGTTTTTTTTTTTCGCTATCACAGTGTAACAAATATAAAAATTAACCGTTACTTATGTGTAATTCAGCGGGTACAGCTCTAAGCAGTGCAGCAGTATAGACACTATAGTGGCAGAGACACAGCAGTGAAGAATGAGATTAAGAAGGATTAGAAGGAGATTATGTCATACAGACATTACGCAAACATGATAGCCAATCATTTCAATCCATACATTTGTCATGGCGCCCACCGCCCCATGCACAGATCTTGGGTTGGGTCTCTGCAGCTGCGATTCCCCGCGAAGCACGCAATCGTTGCGCGATCACAGCGGCACGACATTTTTAGGCTTCTTCAGTTGATTTCTTGACTCAGCACTTCTGAGCAAAGTCAGAGGTTGTATTTTTAAAGCGACCGGGATTTAGTCATTGTCACGGATAAAATAAAGAGGAAGGCTGAGTGCTGAATACCCTCCAGCTGTTTTTAAAATCCTGGTTGAGTTTACGGCGTATTATACACTGTGTTAAAAATGTAATAGGTTTCCAACATTTTTAACCTTCGTATGAGTAAATGAGGCGGGAAAAATATATTTTAAATAAACTATTTTAATAGGAAGTAGCTCAATTCGCCGCTAATATTCATTACATACTCAAATACTGCTATGGGAGTCAATCAATGCAGTGACAAAGTTCATATTTATACAGACCTGCTGTATTTCACTGCATTTAGTTCTTTTGCGTTTCACCTTTTCTCATCACTTGTTCAGTCTACTCATAAATGCTGCCTCCCTCATCCCTCTATATTCATACCAGCAAGGTTTGTTTTATACTGATGGCACTTGCATGGTGTCTTCTTACTATTGATGGTGCTCGTTGCAGAAGCCCATTCCTTGGTAGTTTTGGAACGGACATTGACTTGTTTGTTCCACTCAGATTGTCTCAGTCATCACATCATGATCATAACCTTATTTTTTTTGCTAACCCTTCTCCAGGTTGCTACCAAAAAATAAACCAAAAATAAAACGGGGTACCGACTGCATTTTGCACGCAGTCACCTTTCTCCTGATGTCAACCCAAACAAAAGCTACTCAAACAGAATTTTCACGACAAGTCAACCTTGAAAACAGTTGCTGTATTTCCATTACAGATGCCATAGTGCGGGCATGTCCTGCCACTGAAAATAAAACCTGACCACACGGAGTTACGGGTTGTGCGGCGAGAGATGCAATAGTGAAAGGCAGGAATGGGAATGTACAGCTACGGTCTCGGCTATTTACCGCTGAAAGCAGCTGCACCTGTTCTCTCAACCACCCCTACAGCCCCTGTTCTGCCTTATGCTCTGCTTTTATAACTATGTCAGAACCCATCGGAGAGCCGTGGCACACAAGAGCATTGCTGAATACCTGCAGAGATGTGACCCAAGCACAGTGGCATAATGTAGAAGGTTAATTTGACTGGCCTGTGAGAGATAACACTTTTTCTGGCAGCCGGCACCCCACCCGAGTTCATGTCTATTATCATACTGAAATATCAATGCTGCCCCAAGGACTTCCTGGACATTTAGTCTTGTGCTGTTCCACTGTAGAGGTGCAGTGTGCCTGGTGAAAACCACTTACCTGCTCACTCACAGGGCATTGCGTTGGAGACCATTATGTGGATTTGTCGGCATGTCCTCTCTGCACTCTCAAATGTCAGCGTTTCTTATGCATGACAGGCAACCATCAGAGTGACTGCTCCTGGTGAGGAAAGTTGTGTGTGTGTGTGTGTGTGTGTGAGTGTGTGTGCAAGAAAGAGGCGCTGGAGGAGGTTAAATTGCATGGTATTGACATCTTAAAAGGACTTCAGCGAGGAAGAGGTCTGAGTAGCTGTCTGTGAGGAGGTGAGGGGTGGATGAAAAAATTTAACCCTTAGCTGGTGTTTGCTTATTAAATCTAGCCTGCTTAATTATGTATTAATTATGTACTTTGCCACAGGCGTGAGGATTTTAATCTCTCAAACCTCATATTGTCGTTCTCCACAGGGGAATGGAATATAATGCAAAAAACAGTGATGAAGCTGCATACATATTAATGGAGGACCGGAGGCGTAGCATAACAGGAGGTATCTGGTGGTTGTCTGTCACTCACTGAGCCAGTCAGCTAGTGTTACCTATCGTCAGAGAGCTGGAAATGATATGTGAAACATGTTGTGGCTTCAGACCAGGACAGCAGGTAGTCAGCATATTTACCTCATCTCATGTTTTATTTACGCTTTGCTTATTTCTGCTGCGCGTGGTGTCGTCTAAGACACACGCTGCCTGTGGAGCAGCTCTCTGCAGCTACAGAGGAGGGGAGTGTGATACCTGAAAGCAGCATAGCTGCATTAGCCCAGTCACAAATGTGTATGTGTGTGTGTGTGCAGTCGCAACATCCATTTTCTCTGCCTCATAAAATCTACAAGAGCAGCAGACACATTAAAGCTGTCTTAGGGAGCCGAGCCTGAGGAACAGACAGGAGAGGCATGAAAGGACTTGGCTGCTACTGTTAGGTTTATTCATCCTGCTTTTACTGGTCCTTCTCTACTTTATCCTTCTCTTTCTCCTCTTCCTCTTTCTTCCCCCTTCACCCATTGCTCTTCAAGGCTGTCACTCCCGTTCTATCTCGTCATTTTAATTGAATTACTCGGTATCGTTCCCCAGAAAGTTTCTTGGCTGACATTGCTTCACTCAAAACCAATAAAAAGGTACTGGGTATTGAAACTGTTATTATACAACCAAAGACCTTCTGTGTCATTTTTCCTCTGTTTTTTTTTTCAACTCTGGTACTTGCCCTTTTTATATTGCTTTATATGACTATTGTAGAGCTTGTGTTTTCAAATTAACTTTCTATGTATTGCTGTGCTGTGTTAGAGGCTAAATTGGAAAATCTAATTTCTGGGGGAGATAAAACAGAGCGTGAGAGAAAGAGAGAGTAGTGTTCACTTGGAGCAGGGCCACTATTGCCAAGGGCAAGGACAGTTCAAATCCATTTACTCCTAATGTTCTATTAATGCTTTTTAGGCCTTTTTAAAAAAGCATCACACAAAACAGAGCTCTGAATAAGCAGCAGGGTCGGCCGTGATTTGGAACACAATTCAAAGAAAGTTAACCGTTTGAACTCTGGTGCTCCAAACATGTGCTCTCAAAAAGTCAAACTTTGTTAAAGCGTTTTCACATTGTGTATTTCAAAGACATGTTATAGTATAGTATGAGCAGAATTTTGTCTGTACCGTTGTATCAGCCAATAAATTTTGCATGTCTTCGGCATTATATTCAGACAGAATAACATATTAATCTTTTGGACCTGACTAGAAATTAAACTGCTTTGGTTCACAAAAAAGGCATTTCGTGATGATGGAGCCACTGAAGTGTCTGTGTGGTTGAAAAGGTTAAGATTAAAAGCTGAGGCTGCTTTGATATTATTTAGAGCTGTTTTCATTTTACTTTTGTTTTTCATTTTCGCCTTCTGATGTCTCACCAAAGTATTGTGACAGTTGTTTTTAAATGGATCTGTCGTTTGCTCTCAAAGGCTTTGGTTCTGATTTTTTCATCAGCGCTAATGAGTAACACAACCTTTTTTGTTTTTTTTTATAGCCAGTCACAAATTACACTCGTAGTATGATAGTCCTGTTGGCTGTCTTGCTATGTTGTGATCATGTTAAGTGCTCGTGGAACGTCTAAGAAGATTTCTATTTTTATTAGCCCACAGATGCAAGCTTTCTTTTTTTTTTTATAAAGAGCAGTTTAGTCCTTCTTACCTCAGATGGGGAAAAAAAATCTGCAATGATATTAAAATGCATGTTAAAACGTGACTGAAACAGGATTTGTTTTTCCTAATATACTTGACTAATGCCTCACCTTAACTTGGGAAAAGAAAGAAATTGGCTTTCTTAATTTGCAAACCTGATGTCGTACCTCTGCCGGCACTCTTCCGCTCATCCTTTGTCCTTACTCCAACTCTGCCCTTGCTAGCAGTGTGCTGCTGTCTCCTGAGGCCTCATTTTGTGGCCTCAGCTTGCAGCAATGCAAATGAAGATTAGCACGCATGAATGCTCCTTCCTTGCGATCGGGACAAATTCTTGGAGAGACTCTGTCCCTGAGTGAAAGGTCTGATGGCAGAGGGCTCCTGCTCCACAAAAACAAAGAATACAGTCGGCCATGGTGACTTGATTAGAAGGCGGGGGGGTTTGTAGAGGACCTGGAGATTAGGAGGTGTGGGGATGAAACTTGTTACTAAAAATGCTAAATGTTATGCTAACATTGCCCTATTCATTCGCGGTTATCTCTCCATTCGCTTAAACTGTGTTGTAACCATCACAGAACAAAATAGGCGTGTTTTTGTTGTATTTTTTGTTTGCTTTTGTAGTAAATGACGTCTTTATATATGTGAAATTATGGTAAATCCCAAATAGAACCCAACCAATGTGTCTGTCAGCCAATTTCATCAGCCTATATTGGCCTATGACAGATATACTGGTGTTGGTGTGTATGTTGTCCAATGGCAGAGAGCACTCCAGCTGCATTATTTACAACAGGGTTACTACTGTCTGCAGCGCATGTAGCAGAGCACAGATCACAGTGGTGCAAATTCAAGGGGTGTCTTCACAGTAAGTTTGCTAACTTTTCCGTGAAATTCATTCTTACAAAGTTGATCTACAAAGACCCCATCATTCTTCTCTTTCAGACACGGGATCTATAACTTTAATTGCTTCGTCAGCCTGTTAAAGTGACAGCTCTGTCATTTAGAAATAGCTTACTGTTACTCTTTCCTCATGACTTCACAATGGAGAGAGCCACAGCACTCGCACAATAACAGCCATAGACCGGACATGACAGGACATCAAGTAACACCAGCAGCTTCTGATGGATTAGCTTTTATAGGGTCACTTCCTAGACTGTCTTGACCACTTCTATACATAACTGCTTCAGTCGGTTGTAATCTTTTGTGTTTCCATCCATTAATGTAACTGCATCCAGTTCAGACTTGTGACGCAGAAAGGCTACTTGGGATATGATTAGATTGCCATCACGGCTTTTGTCTAACTCGGGTTTGTCATTCAGGCACGAAGGCGGCGGCGCATTGAGACGCTTTCAGATTAATGGAAAGGAGAGCGTGTCTGAGAGGGGATTAACGTCTAGTAATATCGGCTTATATATCAATATTGAAACTTTTAACTCCCTAAAATCAACATCGTTTTAAAAAAAATCACATCCTTAGTTACGTTCGGTGTTGTCAGTCGAGCAGCTCGATGTGCTTTATGTACGTTTTGCTAACTTGGTGCGATTGATCTGTAGTATTAGCTCGCATTTGCCAGACTAACGGTCATGAACTTTTCATTTGCACGAGGAAGATTTGCACAGTTTCTTGCTTTATAAATGATTCAGTTTTAAAATATCTGAAACGTAACTTTTGATTAGCGTTCATGGTGGTTGCTGAATACTGACGCTTATGCTTGAAATGGAATTATCTAATAAAGTAATTACCACTATGGCTAGCTATTAATGAATTCATAGATATCATTGAAACATTTGCCAGACAGATGCTATGTATTCTATTGGGCTAAACTCTTAATACATGAAAAAGCTGCTCAGATGTCAAAGCTTTTAAAAAAAAAATCATATTAAACTTAGATTTGGACCTCAGAGACATCAAAACATGAGCAACAACCTAAAAATGTAATTCCAGTACCAGCATGAGTTGAAGTAGTAAATGCCTTGTCATTTCTTACTGCTTTTAAAGTGTTCGCTGCTCATGATTGAAATAATGAGGCTTCTAGAAGATTTGATCAGCATATATTGCTTTTTTTATTGGATTTTACTATATCTGAGTGTATCCAAGTGGAATGGACTTGAAATACGCTCCGTCTTCCTCCCTCCTCGTTCGCACATACGTCTCCCATTAGCATGTCGGGACAGAGATTGGAGCACGTTGCAAGTCCATCTCAGTTGTAGTTTATTGTTCCTTATCTATCGGACATATATTGTGGGCATTGATTTTGTGGAAGCAAAACGAGAAAACAACTCTTTGCTTTCCAATTAGATGTTAACTAACTCCCTCTGTCTTATTCAGAATGAAGGATGTGCATGTTTTTCTGTGCTCATACGAAGAAAGTAAATTAAAAGTGTTACTTCTTGCGCTTGGTTTAATGGGCAATTTGGAGAATCTGATTGCTTGTGCAGAAATGGCAAATACACGATAAAACTTTGGGCCCCTAGGGGCCGTGGATCTGCCAACCTTAGTAGAGACTGATGATTCCTTGCTTCACTGGAGAGAGAGAGAGAGAGAGAGGCTGAGGGAAACAAGATAAAATAGATGGAAAGGAAGAGAGTGAAGTTCTGCTCAAGGGAAGAGGGGAGACCGAGCAGCTGATGTTCATAGATTGAAGCAATTATAACATATTCAGGAGCAGAGATCATGACAGGGGACTCTGGGATGTTTTACCTCATGACAGGATCTGCAGTGGAGGCAGGGCCATTTCAGTGGGAAGGACTGCAGGGAGGAGTCTGTTTATTGAGGTGTTTTAACGTAATGAGTCATAGCTAAAGAGAGCCTCAATGGGGAACAGGGACTGAAATTAAAAAGATAGCTCAGTGAGCAGTTCAGTTGCCTTGAAAACCAAACAGATGGCTTGCTGTGGTAGAAGGCGCCTCTGAGCTCTCTATCTGCAGATGGGATGCATGGAGTCTGCCTCCGGGGAATCAGCTTCATGCTATCAATTAGCCGCTGCATGACAGAGACCTGTGGGCTTTTTGCAACGATATTCACATGTCAAAGTATACGACCGAAGTTTCTTTCTGGCCCTTATACTGTTCCATATGCATCTCTCTCTGTTTTACTCAGATGTTCAATTCATAGCCGCACAACTTAACTGTCATCTCATCTCTTCTGTCACTCACTTGTTTTAAATGTGACGGCTATTTTTGCTTCCCTGATGTGTCAATCTCCAGGATTTATACCTCCAGTCAAGCAGTGCATTTGGATTAATTTAGTGCAGCTCAGTATTACTGCCTGTCTTCCTAACATGTTCACTTAAATTGCCAGATTCATCCGTTCACTCTTGCTCTTTCTCTCTCTGTCTCCTGTAACTAATATACTCCACCTTAGATGTCTACAGAGGAGCTGGAAGAATACGTGAACAGGCAGTTCGACGAGCTCCGCAAGCTGGTGCGTCTGGAGGAGAAGAGGTTCCTCCACCTGGTGGACCTCAAAGAAGCGTTCCTCACCGCGTCCGCCGCCGAGAAGATCGCAGAGATCACCGTCGAAACCGAAAAGCTGCAGGAAGAGATGGCCAACATCACGCACCAGCTGTGCCTGCTAGAACAGGCCGAGTCACAGGCTCCTGCGGTGGCAGTCGAGGCCCTCGTGGCAGCGAATCGACCAGCAAACAGAGCGCTGGTGAGAAAAATCCTCCTTCCTTTTATTATTCTCCTTAATATGCGTCTTAAACTGTTTGTATACAGCACATACAGCGTTGGGAATCTCAGTCACTACAAAGGGAAGCATAGATAAAAGGTAATGACGCGAAAACTCAGCGTAACTGACAGTCAGCGTGCCATCATTTATTTAGTGTGATGTTTTAAGCTTCTAAGTTTTGCTTAGAAATAAATATTTCCTTTATATCTCCATAGTCTTTGCTTAACATAAGCTATTGTATGATGCCTTCAACATTACACATCTGACATAGTGTTGCTCAACTTTGGCCCACTCACAGATGATTGTCTTTTTTAGAAACAGATTTATTGCCGGGTATCGTTTGCACAATACGAGGAATTTGTTCTGTTGTTTTGGTGCAACGATAAATATACACAGTGAGGAATAATGTACATATTAAGGATATAAAAATAGCTAAAAAATAAAACTAACTGTAGTCGTGCAAAGCGGAAGCAGAATATATTGTGCAGTGAAGAATTAAGTTTAAATAAGAACCATAGAACTGTAGTTATTTATTAGAAGGAATTATTGTGATTTTTCATCCCAGTTACTGTATACGCTCAAGGTCGGCTGTTGAAGCTTTTCTTTATCAATTTGTCTGACCAGTTATGTTGGAGGCTCTTGATTAGATTCATAAGTGCACATTTGAGCAAACCTGACCCCCTCCTGATTACAGCATCACATCAAAAGGTCTGCTGTTGAGAGCACCACGAAACAACACGAGGAAAATGTGGTGGCTGATTAATTAATGTAAGCTTTGAACACAGAGGTCTGGTGCCAGAATCGTTACTAAGAGCAGCCTACTTAAAATGGGTGTTATTGCTCTTATCTATAGACAATTACAGGGAGTTTTCTAATCAGCATAAAAGCTTTTTTTGTCGCTGATCAGGAATAGCCAGCCTAGCAGTATGACTTAGGATAATTAGCGGTGCCATATCAACCTGTCTTCAGCCGTTTTTTTTTTTGTTTTTTTTGCTTGGACTAAAATGCTCTTGGTTGTGAGGACTTGGTGCCGCCTTGCTTAAAGCGCTCCGGCGGCATGAATGCGTGCGATCACGGATGCTTGATCCCAGGCTGCCACTTCATGGATTATCTACCTAATGACTGTGGAACCAGACGGCAACGTGAGTGTGGCGAACAGGTGCCACCATACACACCTTTGTTCCAAATGAAAAGAGAGGCTGGCTCTTTTAGTATTTATCCATTCATACATTGTAGAAAATACAGTTTGCTCTTCTCACACTCAGCCGTGTCAGTGTGACAAAGGTAGTTAGATGCAAAATACATCCTGAGCTGTTGGCTGAAGCATCGGTATTAGCATGTTTGTCCTCAGGCTGTAGCTATGAACACAGCAGCTGGGTTCACTGTTCCTCCTCTTTTTTTTTTTTACATATCAACTGCTTAGTGAATGTTTCCCTCTCAAGCCAAAGAACCGTTGAGAATTATGAGTAGGTGCAGCTACTGTATAATCGAGAGGTTTGCACGTACAGTATGCGAACCCTGCCAGAAATTCAACATACGTTGCGTCAAACTCTGCGGCACTTCACTCCCACACGTCTCATTCGATCGTCGAAGAGGAACCGCTTATAGGACTCAAATTAAAACATCCCATCGGCGCGTTTGTCACTCGCTGTATTTGAGTCACCACAGTCAATAGAGGAGGCTCTAGTGTTCCCTAGAGAGGCTGTAGTAATGGTTGTAGCTGATGCACAGATTGCTTTTCTTGCTGAGAAATTAATCCGCGGTGGGTCAGATTCATTAAAGCCTTAATTGAATGCCGATGGGCTACCCTGTTGGATCTCACGCGTTAGTTACCGCTGATGTAAGTAATAGGCAGTGTCATTTGGAAATGTATGGTCACTAAAAGAAAGCGTGCGGGGGCTCGTGCGGCGGTGCACTTGGCTACTGTATGTGTCTCACTGTGGATACACAGAGTTTTAAAATTGTATGAGTCGTCTGAGAATGTTTGGGAACTGTGACATTTGAAAAGAATGAACACAGGGGCGCCAGAGCAGTTGTTGGTGGGAGAAATTGCATCGAGTCTGCCTTAAACCGCCAACACCTGGAGCAGTTTTTATTTATTTTATTTTTATACGTGTGGCACCTCATGGTCCAAGACAATAATTGACTCAAACATAAATTCTCCTACCAGCTCTCTCACTCTGTCACTGTCTGCTTCGTATTGCTACAGCGGTGGCACATTGAGTCCTTCACTTGCCCTTTTACTGCAGTTCTCAACTATATACTCAAAATGTAAGTTGTTGGTGCTGGGACCATATGTTTTTGCTTCATCTAATTGTTTTGATTAATGAGTTGCTATTTTTTACTTCCTACTTCTCTTGCAATTTGAGCTTAGTCATTTTTGGCCTTTTAAAATGCTAGTCCCAGAGCTTCTCGACTAAAGAGTGTGAATAGTTTTGTGCACGGTGTTGTCCAACTGTGCACATGTGGAGTAAATGTATCACCTGCCAGGAAAGCCTGCTTTATAAATCTTATTTGCAGTTCCTATGTCCTGGTGAACGGTGAAATTGCTGCTGTAGCTCTTCTACTCAATAACTTAGATAGGTAGCTTGTTGTGTTGGTCAAAAATAATTGCCCAGGGGTGTGACTAAGATGACTGTCGAATGGCAAAACCAGTCTGAATGGACTCTGGCTGATCTTCTAACTGATTAGTCTGTTGTTAAAACACTACAACTAGCTACTAGCGAATGCTGCAGGAGTCGGGTCTGGAGAGATTTCTGATGCAACAATAATGACGTAAAGTAGTGTTTGGGATTTGAAATTCATGACTGAAACCGTGATATAAGCTGATGTGACACTAGAAAAACAACTCCGCTGCAACAAAACCATTACCTTCAGCTTGGGTTGACTGAGAATACATATTTAAATATGTTAACCCTGTTTGCATTTTAGGTTTTTGTGAATTTCTCTTTCTATAAAGTACAATCTAATCCTGTTTGCCTAAGAGCTACAGTTATACCCTCCAGCCCTCTTGGAAGTAGCGTCTTGATTCAAATCTTTTTGCCAGGAAAAGGACTTTCAGCTTCAGACTGCTGCAGCTTTCCGTGCATATCGAGCTCAGACACTGCAGCCACTTTAACAGCAAGCCTGTGGAATGTGGCAACTGTAATGTAAAAGGTTTCTCACCTGCATGAAAACCCATATTTTTAACAGCTTCTTAGGGAATAAATCACATAATTAAGGCAAGAATTGTTGCTCTGGGTCAAACAAACAAATTACCATTGGTTGTGTTGGTAATGCAGGCACAGGAACACACAGGTGCAGACACACATGGGCACGCAATAATGAGGGTCAGCGGGGACGAAAATTGCATTGACCAATCAGTGGGAGCCAGAGGGAGAATATATTAAGAGACTTTGTCTCAGTCTGAGCCTGTTTATTATCAAAGCTCTCTGGCTCCACAGTTTCATTAAAAAGTACCAGCAGGTACTAAATTGTACAACCATTCAGAGTGTTTACTTGAACATTCGGTGATGACTGGAGAGTAAATTAAAAAAGAAAAAAAACGCCAGTGACATGCCACCAGGCAGGAAGTAGAACTGACAAAACTGATAAAAACACAGAAAGGTGTGGGTCATCTAGAATAGAATAGAATAGAATAGAATAGAATGGAATAGAATAGAATGAAATAAAATGGACAATAACTTCTAATAACTTGTTTAACTGTAAACTAAATTTTATAATTCATCCTACATCCACCCAACCGGTCGAGGCAGATGGCCGTCCTTCCCTGAGCCTGGTTCTGTCGGAGGTTTTTTTTTCCACTGCGGGGGTTTTCGGTTCCTTCCCACTGTTGCGGACTGCTTTCGGACTGCTGGAGCTTATAAGGAATCCAAATGTTTTGGATTGTTGGGTGTTTCTGCCTTTGTCAAGCGCTATGAGATGACTTGTTGTTGTAAATATGCGCTATACAAATAAAATTGAATTGAATTAAAATAGAATGCTTTTATTGTCATCATACACAAAGTACAAAGGAATTCAAAGAAATTAAAAATCTACAGCATCCATACAGATACACATGAAGCAGTATGAACACACCGATGAAACACACACACACTGCGAGAAAGGGCAGGAATGGAAACGTGTAATGCACAAGGTAGCAGTTATAATTGTGAATTAAATGTTGCATCTACTTACATAAAACATTTATGAAGTCTGCTCAGTTGCTAATGTAAGAGAAAGAAGGTTCAATACTGTTTAAGCTTTAAAGAAGGCCAGGCAGGAAAACCGAGCCAAGATTCCCGGCTAGTCGGCTAATGTTCGTATGCAGCACTGACCCAACCCCGACTCAGTTATGATCCAAGGCCACTTTGTTTTGTTTTCATATATTATGCATATTGTGGATTAGTTTTGACAATTTATCGAATATTCATCATCATGTTGGCTGATTGCAAGTCTCTATGGTCTTAAGAAGTACACCATATGACAACGAGGCGCTCAGGTTTTTCACGATATGCTCGTTTTTTTCCTGCATTTTGAATATTTATGAACATGAAATGTCAAATGAAATCTGTCGTTCGTTTTAGAGGAAGGTTCTCCTCGCAGATAATTGCGTCGCAATTTTCATTTGAGCTGTGACATTAACGATATACTTCAGAAATAAGTTCTCATTTGACGAGTTCTGTGATACTGTGTTTAAATAACACACAAAGCAGCTTCAGGTTGTGTCTTCTGATGACTGTCACACAAGCTAGATTGTTCTTAGCTTTGAGAGTCTAGTTTTTATGTGTGCACTTAATGACTGACGCGCCCTAGGCCATGTGAATGAGGCAGGAAATGATAAATCTGGGCTTATTCAGTCTTTAGGGTATGCCATGTCTGTTGTACACTGTTGGAAGCTTAACTATAGTAATTACAATGGGAACTAGGCTCTGTAGCTGTCAGCTTCCTTCTAACAGCACATTTCTTTAAATTTTGTGGGCAGTGGCACTAAAAAAAACTCTTAATTGGACTAAATGAAAACAAAGCACATGACTGGAGCTATAACAACAAAACATTTTCATCGCTGTAGCACAATGCAGTCAATGTGAAATAAAAACATTATGCATAACTAGTTAATTTAAATATAAGAATCTTTTAAAAAATGAACCAGTGTGATGTGCAGCTGAGGTAGAACCAGAACATATTTTATAACTTGCTGGATCCATTTGCATGCATAGTCCATTTGACATGTCCAAAAGTTTCTGTTAGGGAGAAAAAAAACAAAAAGGATTAAGCGGTTAGAAGCCCTCGAATCATTTCTGTGTCAGTGCAGTCATCACTAGCAATGACAACATTGATGTAATTAGCGACGACCGCAGGGCAGATATTCAGTCAGTACCGGGCTGTCACAGACACGTTGGTGAGATAACTTTGTTGTTGATCTTGGTGTCTTAATGGGAATCATTAATATTAATAAAATGTTAATGCAACCTCAGTGTTACACTTTAGTACGCAAATATTTTCTTAAGTTGTGGCACTTAGGAATAGTTTTGATTAATGATATTCGGTATACATTGCGGTCCACTTATTGGCTCACCTGCTGCGTAGGAGATTAAAAATGTATGCAGCCGCAATATTTGTACCCAGCGACGTAATTATGTTTTCAGTGTTTTTAAAGAGGCAACAGTGGATTCACTTTTACATTTTTCATGATTCATTTTTTTCCATTTAAAGCTTAGGATTGTTTTTTTATGTGTCCTCTCTCTCTTGTGGGCATCTTAAAACCTACCCTAGTTTGCTGTCAACTCATGATTGGGTCGGTTAACCAGCATCCTTTGAAAAAAATGAAAGAAGTTTGCGAATTTGTGCCGAGGCAGCCTTTCGGAAACCAGTCAAGAGCTCCTCGAGTGAATGTCAGTTTTGTCCTGTAATTTCGCAAATTGACTTTTGAGTCTGTTGAAGTGTTTGACAAGGTAAACCAAGAAATATCTCATCTTCCCATATTTGAAACTATGTGTTTTTCCAGATCTGAAACTAATTAAATTGAGAGCCAAATCTCAGTCAGTGCGGCAGACAGCCAGTCAGAGCGCCGCTGCTTCCACTCATCTGCTCTCCTCTTTATCTGCTGTGCTGCCAAGGAGCCACTGTCTTATGATGATGTTAGTTACACAGTGTCAAAATCTCTTTCTGCTGCAGCTGTCTCAGCTCTGCTAGTCAAGGTCCAGTGCCACAGAACAATCAGTGCCGAGCAGTAAATTAGGGCTCCCTACCCTCAAGAAGGTGCTTTGGCCTCTGTTTCCTCTCTTGGATGTTTGTTTGATGTGTCTTCAAACATCGACACGAGAAGGCTGTTTTTTATGTTCGTCTGCTGAAAGTGAGAAGTTTCTCCTCTGACATCTGAGATTACTCTGTGTACCTGCAATCATGATCTGTGGCATCACAACTAGTTTGGAAGTGGATTCTGGTCCTGAGCCTGCTCCAATAGGCAGCTTACAAAAGTGGGATGAGAAACTTTGAGCCTGCATTTTTACATACTATGGGCCAAATGATACATCCATCCATCCATCCATCCATTATCTATACACCACTTAATCCTCACTAGGGTCATGGGGGGCTGGAGTCTATCCCAGCTGACTCAGTGTGAAGGCAGGTTCACCTGGACAGGTCACCAGTCTATCACAGAGCTATGCTTAGAGACAGACAACCAAGCACACTCACATTCATACCTACGGACAATTTAGAATCACCAATTAACCTCAACATGTTCTTGGACTTAATGGGAGGAAGTCGGAGAACCCGGAGAGAACCCACGCTGCACGGGGAGAACATGCAAACTCCACACAGAAAGATCCGAACCGGCGACCTTCTAACTGTGAGGCACCAGTGCTAGCCACTGCTCCACCTTGCAGCCCCCGACTGATACAGATTATTACAAATCAATGAGAATAATAAGCAGTATTTGGAGCTGATATACAGATGCAGAGGAGATAAAATGTTGGTGTCAGTTCTGAAATATTCAATGAGGGAGGATGGATGAACCACATCCGACCATAATTAATATTCAAAGCATAATTTTGTTCTGTGTATCTTTCCTGGAAGGGATCTTTAAAGGTACCAACTAAAAAACAAACCAATTGAGCTCAAGCATGGTAGACTAAATAATTTAGCTGTAGCTGTATACATGATGGGATGCAAGGTGGCTCGGTGGTTAGCACCGTTGCCTCGCAGCAAGACGGTCACCAGTTTGCGTCCCGGTGAGGACACCCGGGATCTTTCTGCGTGGAGTTTGCATGTCCTCTCCGGGTTCTCCGGCTGTCCAGGTGTCCCCTGAGTCAGCTGGGATAGACTCCAGCCACCCGAATGTGGATTAAGCGGTGTATAGATGATGGATGTATATGAGAGCAGTTTCACGTGAGGTGCACGTGCACACTGCACCTGCATGTATAGTCTGCTATATACTCAGTATATATATTATATTGCTACGTTTTAGCTATAATTTAAGTTTTGCATGTATGCTTTGTGAGATACTGCATTTACAATGTGTAGGATTTTAATTACATTTCATTATTTAGCATCTAAGCAAACCTTTTGCTTGCAGTGTTTGTGTATGCGTCCCTCACTGGCAGTCCATAAAGGATTTTGACATGTTTTAAGCCCCAGTCGAAATTAAATAGAAAAGCCAGCGCACATGAATAATGTTTGCAGCTCAGTTGGTGCTTTGTTCCTTTAAAAGCTCATGAATATACATGAGCACAACTGGTGGATGAAACTGAAAATTAATTGGTCAGATTTAGAGCCACACCAGCTGTGGACCAAGTTGATGTAAATTATGTTGTTTACTATTTATTTGTTATCCACAACACCTGTGCAAAGATTTTAAATACGTTTTATTCTCTCTCTCTCTCCTCCTCCTTCTCCTTCTTCTCCCTCCCTCTCTTCTTCTTTGTTTTCAGCGCGACATTGAGGCCAGGCCAAGGTAAGACTGCCAGTGTGATTCATGTTCACCTTTTTATAGCAGATAGTTTAGCTGGCACTTGAGGACCCTTCGATACCTCCCCACTCAGCTTCTTGCGATATTACCCACCATGTGACTGACACGTATTCATCTAATAACAACACACACTCTCCAAGTTGTTTTTTTTTTCTTCCCCTCTTTCTCCTCTAACAATTCCACCTTTCACTTCTTTCACGTGACATCTCACTAACGCAGTGCAGACACATCACGCCTGCCATGCCTCAAAGCCTGTTCGGTCACATTGGTGCCCCGGCAAGGCAATTAGTTGCTCTCATCTGAGTGTCCTCGCCGAAATCAGAGGAGGTGACAATCTGCCCGGTCCAATAAAACCGTTCCCAACAGCGGCTGACAGGCTGGCGCTGTGTTTGTGTGCGTGCCTTTATGGATGCTGTATATGCATGTATGCATGAAGTTGAAGAGAAGTTGTTGCGTCATTAGCTGGGTAGAATCTGGCCCTCTGATGCAGCGTAGTATTTGCATTTCTGCATGCAGGTGTGTGAAGGGAGACTGACAGATAGGTGCACTCGTATTATTTTTCAGCCACTAGGTGTTTATTTGTGTCTTTTTTTTTTCTCTTTTTTTCTGCCATGACAACATCTTTCACCTTTATCTCCTTCTGTGTCAGACAATCTGAAATGGATAGTCCTCTCCCAGTCTCACACTTATTGATCTGTTGACATGAAAACGTCTGCCTTCACCCAGTGGAGAGCACTCCTAGCACCACCTGGTGTCTGCGTCTACACCCTCAGCTGTCTCCGTGGGGTTTCGTCACACAGTGCTGCAGACACAGAAGCACACATATGCATACATAGCACAGATCCTGACAGCTGTGGGCTGTGTACAAAAATAGCGCCATAATGTGCCATATAATGTACTTCTGATGGAAAACATGCTCGTTTCCTGCAGACAGACGTAGAGTATTTAATTTCACTTGGCCCTATTGATATTGTGGTGCTGCCTGCTTGCGGGAAGCATACTGTCTTTCGTCTCTGGAGTGTAATGTACCTTGCATTTGAGTCATGACCAGGGCTGGTGCACGGTGCCAACATGTAATATGTTATTGATTGGTCAGCTAGTATTATGACCCCTAAGCTCTGGAGCAGATGGCAGCGAGCTTGGACCCAAGGGTGAGATGAAGCTAATAGTTTGCCCTTGGTCAAGGTTAACCTCTGCACACACACATACAAAGTATAATTACTCCCAAAGTCCCTTGTATTGCCCTAAAATGCAGTCTGTGCAGAATCTACTGTGGCTAGTGCAAAAAAAAAAACAGATTTTGGAGGGAAGTGCTAGGAGGCTAGGAGAAAGGAAGGTCTGGAGGGCTTAGAAGAAAAAAAGGAACAAGTATGTTTTGGACAACCCCGTGCGTAAGGTTTTTTTTTTAATGTGGATTGAGTGATCCAGATTAGACGTCTCAAGGTTTGAAGGTGAAGCAAACAAAAGTGTGAACAGGAAAAAGAAAAATGAAGCGAGATGCGTGCAGGGAGAAGTAAAGAGACGAAGAAGAGACATTTTGGAGGATCAAGCAACGAGTGGATGTTTAGGGTTATGTGCAATGGGATCCAGACAGCAAATTGATTATGGAGCAGAAACACTAATCCGCTGTCTGAGCCCCATATCGCTGCCGTAGACAGAGCATCCCCACAGGACCACAATCCTGCACCCACACGCATCTTTCCTGGAGTTGCTCATCAATACAAACCCCCGCCTTTCCCCAAGCCTCTTAACATACGTACTCCATGCCTGCAAAGATTTGTCCTCCTCTGAATATAAATCTTGCTTTACTCTCCTCCGCCCAATCATTTCCCTGCTGCCTCTAATGTAATGCATTGCAAATTTCACTTTCATTCCTTTCCTTTAATCTGTGGACCCCGCTTACAACCCTTCTCCCGGACTTTTTTGGCTTTTACATATGTTTGCGTTTGTATTTGTCTTGTGCGCTGGCTCTTTTATTTGTCTTTGTGTGTATTTGTATGTATGGCCGCGCCTAATTATCAAACCAGACAATATTTATCATCTGGATCTAATCTGGCTGTCGCAATCTCTTAGTAAATCATGTTTGTGCTGTATTTGTGTGCACACACTGCATGTGCATGTAATTATATGCCCAAAGGTGGAAATAGATCTTCTGCTTGCTTCTTAGAGCTTATTCTGACATTCGTTGTGGCTCTTACGTAAATTAAATTTCAAGAGAAATAATGAAATATAGCAATTAAATTCATAGCTGGCGTGTTGTCTCTGTCTTATATATATATGTACATCCCCAGTTGGGTTTTGTCTTCTTGGAAGCAATGACACACCATTCATTTCCTTTTAGATTTTACTGTGTGAGCCCCCCCCAGTGATCACATAAAGCCATGGTACATTAGGAGTCGCCATGTCGTTGATCAATAGGGGGAGAGGAGAGTGTCTCAGACTGTCTACGCACACATAAATACACGTACACGCGAGGAAGGCTGGAGAGAAAAGGGCTTACTGCAACAGTGACGCTTTAATTCCTGAAAGCCACTTTTATGTTTGTCTCCTGAGGTATCGCGCTTAACAGAGAAATAGATGCAAATACAGTGAGACAGACAATGACAGAAAGAGAGATGTACACCGAGGAATTCCACTCGCTAGACTTAAATTTGCAGTTCAGTTGGGACTTTGGAAGATTTATTTTTAGCAAATGCATAGAAGCATTTCGCTGCCGTTTGGCTTCCACGACTAAGATGTTTTTAGCGTTGGACGTCTTGTCAAAGAGTTTTCAGGGCTCTGCTCGCAGGGTTATTTCATTTTTATTTATTTTTTTTCATCCATCCTTATCTCTTTAATTTTAACGATCAGGGAAATGTTTAAAAGCCACTCAATGTTTACACTGATTCACCAAGTTAACCAACACAGATTCCCTTTAGGCTTAGTGACATGTTCATGCATACATTAAAACTTACAGCCGTTCTGTCCTGACGTGTAATCAAACCGTGAGTTGTTTTCCTGACATACACACACACAGCATGCATGATGCTAATTAGCGTCTGCGTATTTAGTGCGTTGGGTTTTCCTTTCGCAGCAGTGCTTGCAAAAAGAGAAATATACCCTTGCAGCAAATACAGATTACCTCTGGGAGCAAACAGTAGTGACTTTACCAACAGAATACTGTTTTCATTTTTGGAAAATTCCAGCAAACACAAAGTCAGCCACTTTCCTGCACTGTGTGGCTGTACAGCGCTGTTAATATAAAGCTGATAGTTGTTCAAATCCGTTCCAAAAGCAAACGAATTAAGCCGTTGTTTGACTGCTACACAAATGGAAGACTCTTGTAAATTAGTGTCTCTTCCAAAACATATATTAAAAATGGAGCATTTATAAATGCAGGTAACAGAGAGCGCTGCTATAGCCTAAAGCCACCAACAAAAGCACCGATTCGAAATATTTTTGGAAGCGGTGTCATCGTTAAGTCAGGTCTTGTCAGAGATGCAGCTCACTGTTTTCCCTGCCTCCCACAGTGAGCTTTCCCTCATGTTTTTGTATCCTGTCACTCTGACCACATAAAGAATAGAAAATGAAGACTGTGAGACGCCTTAAAGGAGAGACATTTCCTGGGGAAGAAAATGTTCGGCACTTGTTAGTTGTCGCTGATTGCCTACTTTTTCTTAGCTGATGAGCCATCATATGACAAAGATATGCATGAACAGCGCTCATCCGCGGCGTAATCAAAGCAACGTCTGCCATTTGTGCCATGCACTTTTCCTTCAATCCGTTCACTCACTGTCTTGTCTTTGCCTCAGCCTGCTCTGTATGTGCAGTGGTTGCATTCGTCACCATGGTGCAAGAACAAATAATTGTATAACAAACAATTACATCTAGACTGAGAGCATGTTTACTTTGAATATCCTCCAAAGAAAAGGGGGATTAAGAACATGTATGCAAGTGTAGTCACAGGCTTCAGACTATTAGATAAATGCATGAGTTTGCACATGTGGATTTCACAGTTCACATCCGTGTGTTCACATCACAGTCACTCCCTTTGTACTTAGATCCTACTTGATATTCTTTTGGGGTGGGAAAAAAAATCTGCCTATTTATCTGTTTGAGGTCATATTTTATTCACAGACAGAAATACTATTAAAGGCAGAAATAAGAAGTATGAATCTGTGAAGCCTTAAGGTTTACTGTATGAAAACATGCCAAGCATCCAAAGCAAAAAAAAAAAAACATGGAGTGATACAAGCGTAGGAAGGCTTTAAAAATAGTTATACGTCATGAATAATGAAGATAAAAAAGCCATTAATTATTGTGATGCAAGCAAAAAAAAAAGAAAGAAGCAAAACAACACTACAAAACGTTTATTATTTCAGCTGATAATCTCGATTATTTCTCAGTTCGGGTTCAGCCAAAAACCGCGTTATAATCGGTGAATTGAAGAAAGTGAAAATGGGTGCAACGTGTGGCAAGTTTGCTTAGCAAGAGCGTCGGCGGCCCGTCGAGCATATAAATCACACAGTGTAATCACAGAACAAAGGTAAAGCTCACTGAGGAGCGGAGCACTTCTAATTACAACGTGAGGTTCCCCCGTTCGTCTCCGATCGCTCAGGAGCTCCGGTCTCCTGCTTCACTCGCTTTATTATACACGTATGTCCCAGAACACAAACACACACACGGTCTCTATTTATTTTCCTCATCTTACAGTTTCTGTCTAACATAAACACAGACGAGTCATACTGTGCAGCCTACACAGACTTAACCATCAGAAATGTGCTTTACACGTGCTCCAGACAGGCTAACTTATCCCGACACACTAGATATGAATGAACAGAGGGTAATAAGGGGTTTCAAAAAATAAATTAATAATTAATTAAATGATCTTATGCATAAATATTAAACACTCCACAGACCCACACAGACTCATTTCTAGACTGATTAGCTTTGCTGGGAATGATGTCAGCAAACCGTGTGTACCAGCCTGGGCAATACAACGATTT